CCCCCCCTTCTTTCCCCTTCCGCACGGCCGACCCCGCGGCTCCGCGCGGCTCGGCGCCGTCGTCGCTCACAGCAGCTGAGCGGAGCAGAACAGAGAGAGAGCGCTCTTCAGTAGCAGTAGCAGTGCGCCAGCGTCGAGTGCCCTGCCTCCTCGTCACGTCACCGCAGCTCCAGGAGGAAGTCCGCCGCGCCAGCGACCGCTGCTCCTCCCTCTCCAGGACCCTCACGCACCCCTCCACGTCGTCATGTCCTTCAGCGGCAGGGTCGTGATCTACGGAGGCAAGGGCGCCCTGGGCGCCGCCTGCGTCAAGCACTTTAAGAACAACAACTGGGTGAGTGCGGGCGGGGCTTCCACCTCAACAGGTTGGACGGCGCCCGACGCGGGGAAGGCTCGACGGCTCTGCTGTGAGCGCCGAGGAGGGAAGTCTGTGGGCGGCGAGGGTCCTCCCCCACGGGCCGGAGGAGGCCGGGGCCAAATCTCGGCGATAGCGGTGAAGAGGTTATCTTGGACTTCTCCTGTGGGAGCGGAGCCGCCGTTGAGCAACGGAACGGCGGCGGCGAGGAGACGCATGGCCAGGCACAGAGGCGGCGGCCTCCTGGAAACAGCTGAGCGGCCGCCAGAAAAGAATGTGACCTTGTTGCAGCGCCGCCGGCGCTAGCTCACATCCTGGTGGGAAAGCCCATTGAATATTATGAGTAGTTGTATGGCAACCTGGAGATAGTTCTACAGCGGAAACAATTTTGTTTATAAGTTATTTTGAGGGATCATAGGACATTTGTCGCTCTTATTTTTCTTATAATGAAAGGTAAATGTCGTTTGATTTGCAGTGGGTGGCCTCAATCGACATGAAAGAAATGGAGGAAGCTGATGCAAGCATCGTTGTTGAGCCCAGTGAAAATTGGACTGCGCAGGTCTGAGAACCCGCTTTTGAATTTTGACTGGCTTTGCACGTTTTGTTTCATACTAATGGATTTCTTACTATTGTAATGCTCAGGAGACCCAAGTTCTGAGCAAAGTTAAAGAGGTCCTCGGAGATGAAAAGGTTGAAGCCATTATCAATGTTGCTGGAGGTTGGGCTGGGGGACACGCTGGAAGCAAAGGTACTTTGAATTTTAAACGTTCAGAAAACGTTCCTAGACTGTATACAATTTTAATTAATATACGTCCTATTTTTAAAATTTCCTTTTCAGACTTTATTGCTAATGCTGACTTGATGTGGCGTCAGAGTGTCTGGAGTTCCTGTATCTCTGCTGCCATAGCAGCAAAGCATTTGAAAGAGGGTGGAGTTGTAACACTTCCTGGTGCCAAAGCAGCTACTGCTGGAACTCCAGGTAGGTGGCCTTGAAAAGACATTAACTTTTCTCCATATGCTGTTCTGTGTGAGAGCAGTTATGATAGTTGATTATGACGTTGCAGGTATGATTGGATACGGAATTGCTAAGGCTGCAATCCATCAGCTCACTCAATCGTTAGCGGCACCAAATAGTGGTCTTCCTGCTAATTCATTTGTCGCCTCAATATTGCCCATTACACTGGACACTCCAATGAACCGAAAGTGGATGCCTGATGCAGATACGTCTAGCTGGACTTCTCTTGAATATATCGCTGAGTAAGTGAAATTTTGATGCCTCAAAAACTGTCTCCTGACTTTAAGTGCATAACATGTTCCTTATGAATTTCAGCCTATTTCTGCGGTGGTCCAAAAATGAAGGACGTCCAGCATCAGGAAGTCTTGTTGGTTTAGTGACTAAAAATGGTCAAACTGAAACTGTGATTGTCTGATCTCAGACTCCTGGTCGTTCCATTAGTATTCGAAGGAACCGACCAGCACCCTTCTTTGAATGATGGTGATTTCAGCTCTCATGTACTTAATTAATGCACAATTTATAACTGATCTGAAAGCTCTGTATAATTGTCCAGAAAAAAAAAAATGCTTGTAAAGTACCCAGCATGGATTTTTAGGATGACAGGTCACTGTGTAGTTCCTATTTTCCCTAGTTGCCTGTTTATTTACACATCACATGGCTCTGAAGTGGAGATAAAAGCTCTACCAAAACATTTCAGCTGAAGTTTTGGATGTGTAAATTCAATAGCTGAGTGGATTTTTTTTTTTTTTTTTTTTTAAATCTGTGTGTGTTATGCTTATTTTTTTTACATTGTAGCTGCTCAAAGTAATGTTAGATTTAAATTTATTTACTGTTCTGTGTGTTTAAGTGATGTCTTGAGTACCTGAAAGTTCAGTGGGAAGTAAAGCCAACTTTTTTTACTACGAGACTGGTGAAATTTACCTAAGCATGGCACATTTTAAGCTTCAATTGAAATCATTTCCCTAGAGAGTAAGACAACCTAAGGTCATTGTATGAAAATTCAGAGCCTTTACAGGATTTGAAACATTTTGAAAATAAAACGGTTGAATGTGCTTTTTAGTAACATTGTATGTATTTCTCAATAAACAGTGTAGGTTGTACATTGAAAATAATGAAATACTTTCCATATCAAAGCTCCTGTGATTTACTTCACCAGATAAACACATTCGTTCACAAAGTCAAAATTGTTACTATAAATAAGGCATTGCATGGCTTAATGATGACAAATGAATTGTGGCTAAGAGCACGCTGAAAAATGAGCAATGGTGTAGAACAAATCAATTTGGAAAGTACAAATGCACAAGGATGAGAACATCAAATACAAAATGCAGTAGGAACATGTGATAATATTTCACTTTAGATTTAACAATATTTCTGTATTGATCAATGTGGAAAATGTTGAAAATAAGCTAGGGCAACACTACATGAAGTATGCATGCATCACAACAAAACATGATAAAAATAGTATTCATAGCTATCTTTCATGTATGGTTAGTGCGATTCTTAGTTAAATATTTAAGCATCTCAAATTTGAAATCACATTAACCATCATAATAACATTTATAAAATTTATGATTATGGCTCATGGACAAACTGAATTAAAATATTTTCACCCTGATGCCAAGAAGCTTTTATGTACACCAACAAGAAAACAAGATTACAGACCAGAGTTTTATGCCATGATATAAATGGAAAACCATTAAGCATGGCTCTATACAATGACTTAATACATATTTTAGAACAAAACAGCAAGTTCTACCAAAAAAGTATTTTTACACAGTTGCACGTCAAAACTTACTTCTTGGACAGATTACTGGCTGTGCAAGAAGTTGAATGCATTTCCTAAAATGTTCAACCAGACAGAGAAAAATGCATGCTTTTTAGGTACAGTTATGCAGTAAACACCTTAAACAGGTAGCCTTACAATTGTCCTATGGAATTTGAGATACCCAAAGAAATCATACGCTTCTGGTTTGATTTAATAGTACACCAAATAGACCAAATTTAACCAAACAATTGCATCCATAAATAGCTAATAAGGATGGCATATTATTTGTCAAATGTAATACAAGCTACCTAGTAACGCTACTTATCACAGAGAGAGTATCAGAGACACATACATACATACATCTACTTTGCTGAGGAAGACTGTTGGTATGTTTTCAATTTAGGTTTTTTTTCTTTTTTATGACCAAAGAAAAGGCTATGCTATACATTACGGACATGTTTCTCAGCAACAAATAACTTGAATACTTTGGGAAGGAGTAATGAATGACGTTGCTTGCAGCACAAAACTAATTAAATCGCTTAGCTTACATTTCTCACGGTATAATCTTGTTGATTCTCTCAGCTCTTTTTCGCACACGAGCAGGAATCAAATATAGCTTTTTAAAACAAAGCACAAATTTTAATCTTGTTGGAAACATCAAATCAAGTCTGAAAGAACTTCTAAATAAGAGGCATTTTCTGCAAATCTGACTGCAGGCTATTTTGTGAACAAACCGTTTCTTGTCTTTTCCACACTTACAGAAATAGTTAAGAATGCTTTCTTCATCAAAAGTTTTCCTAGTGTATCCTCCTAGACAAATGAGACTTAACAGAGGGCAGTTTTGATATGAATAAAACAGTTTTGAATTAACTGTCCCAAGTTGAAATATACTTGTTTTGTGGGAGTGAAATTTCTTTTGACTGCCAGTCTTCGGTTTTCTAATTCTACCTTTTTTTATCCACTGTTTGATCAGTGTAATTTTTTCCCCATCACACCATTCCTTTATTTTGCCCCTTGAGGCATTGTGCACAATTTCAAAAGTTGGAGATAGCAAATTGTGTGGAAAATTATCAGCAATACCTTTACAAAACATGCTGTTATACTATTAAAAAATTAGAAATCATTCAGTCAATTAAAGTTATTTCATTATATAAAAAGGGTTAAGATCTTGGATTCCAATTAGTACCATCATCTGGTACAAGCCCATTAGTTACTAGAAGTATGATATCTACAATCCACCAAATACCAACTCCACCAAGTGTTAAAAGTTTACCTACAGCAGTGCCTGTTTGTCCTAGGCAGAAGCGATCCATACCCAGGAACCCCAGAAGAATACTGTATATGATTGTGGTTGTAAAATAGTGTCCACCATACCTGGAAATTGAAATGAATGTCAGTTATGGAATCAATACAATAAAAGTTGATCCTCTTATATATTTATGAAAGATTTATAATATATTTATGAAAGATTTATAAATGTATGTAAACTCACTTGATACAAGGAAATCCATCTTTGAGGAAATTGCGGGATCCATAGCACTCAATATCTGGCAATACTTTGCAGTTGACCTTTGTCTTCTCTACGTCTTCATAACGAGATCCTCCAAACTATGGGGCAAAATGATACGCAGCTAGATTAATAAACTATTAATACTAAAGAGTACAAAGGTATAATTTGTATTTATGTTTCACTGGGCTAACTATTTCAAAAAGTTAGAATTACCTTGACACATCCGTGTCCCGCATCATCTCGAGCAGACTTGTTACCTTTATGATCCACCGGTTCTTCACAATCTAAAAACTCCAATGGTCTGGAAATAAAGGAAATGACAAATAATTTTCATGCGTAAAACTAAAACATTGAAAAGCAAAATTTAGACATTTGTTTTTAGAGAAAATTTATTTTTCAATATCTGAACATAACCACAAAATATGTTTCAAACTCAGATGGGAAACTTACAGAAACGAGCATTTGACGAGCGGGCCGTCAGGTCTATAGGTGCGATCTAAAGACCCGTTGTCGGACCCTTGTCTTTTAGCCTGTCCAGAAGTTGTTAATAGAAACAGGGCAAATAGCAAAGCGGGCACCAAGCACTTCAGGATCACGAACATGACAGAGTAGCATTACTGTCTGACCGATGCACCTGGAATCCAGGCACCCAAATATACCGAAAACCGAATATTCCTCAGCTAAGGCAGGTACCTGGGTGTCATTTGCACTCGGTATGACTTTCTGTTTTGACAGAAAAGGTTGGGCTGCACTCCGTCTGCTTATTATGCATGGAGGAGGTGTGTTGACTCTCGACTGTCAGCTGTTTGTTTCCCCCTCCCTCAACATCCCCCTCCCTTCCCCGATCCCGCCAACGATTCAAACGTCTGCGGGTTTTCCTTTTTGCGTGTCATCCACGGACCAAAGAGGGCCTCATCTGGGCCGACTAAGGGGCGACAGGTGGGAGGGAGACATTTAAACAAAAATGCGAACATGGGTGGAAACCCAGGAAAGTTTCTGGAAAATTTCTGGAAAATTTCTGGCAAATTTCAGGAAAAAAAGAAAAATTTCCGGTAAAAATAGAAAATGTCCCAGACTTTCGAAGTTTTCCGTTATTTTCCGGAAATTTTCTGAAATTTTCTGAAATTTTTTGGAAACTTTCATCCCTGAATGCGAGGGAGGGAAGGGGGGGGGGAGGCTTACCTCAAAGTGGTCGATCATTCACCCTGCGACAAGAGAAATTATCACGAATTCGTTTTCGGAAACACGGTGGCTGGTGCCTTTTCAGATATATGGGGTGGCGGGAGTGGAGGGGTAGGGAGAGGGGGGGGGAGAGGGGGTGAAGATAGATAGATGAACAGGCGGCGGTCGTTTGATAACGAACCTGCTCCCGCCCTCTTCCCCCTCCCTCGCTCGCGCGGTCGTTCCGCGGGGGGGCCTCGCGGGCCTCGGCGAGTCGAGTAAGTGCCTGGCTCAGCTGAGCGGCCCGGATCGCGCAGGACGGGACGTCTAGTGGACCGCGCAACAGAGGACCACCGCCACCGCCACCGCCACCGCCGCCGCCATGGCCAGCCACAAGAGCCCCGCCTCCTCGGCCAAGCAGGGCCTGGCGCCCCTCGAGCACATGTCCAAATCCGACACCATCCTCCTGCGCAAGAGGCTCGTGGGGTGAGTGACCATTTGACCATGCCCTGTACACCTGCCACATTGTCAGTCTTTTATTTAACAGGATGAAGTTGAAGTTTAACAAATTGAAGTTGTAGTTCGAATGTAGTCTGTCCTGACTGACTATTTTCGGTTAAAAAAGTATTGTGTAATTAATTAACTATACTTTTTGGACGCATAGCACAAAATTCAGTGTAATTCAGTGTAATAAGGTTTCTTAGGGCCAAACTGCCCCCCTGGCTCTATTTTATCCCCACCCCAGGATAAGTAGCAGCATGGATACGCCCGCGTAATCTTCTTTTAGAGATATCGCGTGTAATTTATCCACGTCCCAATACACCAGCGGTCCAGTGCGGTTACGAGTAGGCTATATCTCTAGTGTTTGCGAGGGCAGCTGCTTCAGACGTGTCGCCCGCACAGGCTGTACTGCCTCGCGCGCGGCTGTTTTTCGCGCGGGACGGTTTGCACTTTGTTTACTCGACGTGTGTCGTATTATGACATGTCTGTCCCCCCCCTGTGAAACCCGCGCGGGTGCCGCGGGAGCGCGCTAAACTGGGCTATATCGGGCGTGTTTCAGAGCGGACACCACAACACTGTATAGGGTACACTCTGAAACACCCCGGTGTAACACTTATGGCGGTAAAAATAAATGTGGAGCTCTGCAGTTGAGTAAACGATGATTCCGTACATTATATGGTGCGTCCACCTTACTGTCGAACGTACAGTATCCAACTGGACTGGACCGGACCGGACGGGACAAGACGAGACTGAGATGCAAAAAAAAGCAACGCAACAAAAAAACACCTCTCGTTTTCACAGAGTACAGCCGTCAGCCACGGTTCATGAATGAGGCTTGTCTGCATAACAATTTTCTCCACAAAATGACGACTTTTATGATCAGCGGTGGGTTCGATACGTTACTGCACCCTGTGTGTGTGTGTGTGTGTGTGTGTGTGTGTGTGTGTGTGTGTGTGTGTGTGTGTGTGTGTGTGCGCGTGCTAAGCAGCGTGACGGTGCCGTTCGGCAGCGAGTTCAATCTCTCTCTCTCTCTCTCTCTCTTGGTACCAATAAGAGGGAGTCTAATCAGTGGCAGTCCATTCTGATAACAGTCCAGACTCAGGAGGACGACGCCGGGGCGGAGCAGACGGACGGGTCCAAGTCCTGGGGGGCGCACGCAAAGAACATTGTCAGGGCCATGCGATTGAAATGATGTGATATTTTCCACGGCGAATTTAATTACATCGAAAAAGTAAAGGCCACCTCCTGTCCTGTAACTGACATGGTTCCTGTACCTTCCCCCTGTCCCCGTGTTGCTCGTGCAGGAAGGTGCACCTGGCGGGCGGGAGACCTGCTCCCCGCGCCCCCTCGACGCCCGGCTTGTCACGCCGGACGCCCGGATGGGCACGACTAGCGCCTCGGCGCGAGTCCTCGCGTCCACCCCGTCAAGGTCGCAGAGAGAGAGAGAGAGATAGACAGAGACAGACCGAGAGACAGAGAGAGATAGAGAGAGACAGGGAGACAGAGACAGACAGGGAGACAGAGACACAGAGAGAGAAAGAGGTCCCTAGTCGAGGTATTGTTCCTTGAGGAAGAAAGAAGCGCGTGGCGGGTGGCGGGTAGGCAATACTTTGCAGCCCTCCTGGGCGGGTGGCCTACCCCGAGCCCCGCAGGGGTCCTCCCCTCTTACACACTGGCGGCGGGGCCCGGCCGACTGGCCCTGCTCCCGAAGGCCAAGGTCACCAGTCCAGAGGGAGCCAACGGTCGCGGTCCGATATACGCTGCTCCAGCCAGGAGGCCAAGGTCAGCACTTCAGAGTGTTATCCGCGCTGTCTCCAGCCAACATCCGGTCGGTCGGACAGGCTGCGCGCGCGACTGCCCCGCAGAAGACCCCCTCAAGTCTAGCCGGCGATGTTAATTAAGAGCTCCGCCTCATTGGCAACCCTGGAGTAACGAGCGCATTGACGTAAGCGTTGCTGACCGTGATGATTGTGCTGACCGATGCTTACAGTACTGACGGTCAGACACTGACGGTCTGACACGGCCTGCACGTCCCCGATATCGACAAGTGTTGCAATCCGTCCCCACCCACAGCCTCCGCCTACGTGAGCCGAGGACCAGGCGTATACTAACTCGTCATGTAGGCTCGTACTCATTGCATACTAACTCGTACTAACGGGGTAATGACGCGTGACAGGTAACGGAGACCAGCAGCGCCGTACAAAATGAGGAATATTGACGCAAAAATATCGGAGTGCATTAAAGTGCACCAAACAAAGTAAATAACTCGCACACACGCTCTTTCTGTCTGGAGTGATTGTGGTATCAGCTGCTCTGCAATAAATCACTGTCTTTCCGAACGTCGCCCGGGCCGGCCGATGACAGCTTGATAAGAGGTTCGCGCGCAAGTCCTTTGCATATTATCCCCTTATCAATTTTTTTTACTGTCTCAAAAATAATTGGCACACGACCAAAATGACCATCGTTGCCAAGGAAACGCCCATCCCATCATGCTTCTCGTGTGTACCACATATGGATGGTCTTATTGAGGAGGGGGATATGGTGAGGTTGATGACCATGAAAACATTACTCAACTGTCTAAAACTCCGACGTAACGTTGTAACGTTGTACTGATTGTAAAATAAGAAATACAGAACGCGGTAGGTCCCGCTCGCAACAAGAGCGAACAGGGGCCGCGCTTCCCTGTCGAACCTGTCCCGCCAGCAGGCACACGACCCGCGGACTGTATACAAAGAAAGAATCGTTACGAAATTCTGTAGCAGCCTTTCCTCCGGTTACGGTAGCGCAAAAGTAGAGTCGAGAACCATTTTTTTTATCTATCGGAAACAAAGTACAAAAAAAAATCATGACATTTGAAAATAATGTTTTAGACTAGACAACTACTTTTTGCCCCTGCCAAAAAATAGAGCGTGATGGAAAAGCAATATGGCTGGTTGTTGCCACCTGGCCGACGTGAGTCTCGTGCAGCACGCCTTATCACAATCGCTCGACGGCGGAGGAGTAGTTGGTTTACTCTGTCACCGCCAGAAGTCCGTGTGTTTAGGCGGCCCGTGCCCCGTGTTACATCATCATTTTTTTTTAATGAAGAGGGGTATACTTTTTCCTCGGCCGCGTCTAATTGAGTTTTTTTTTCCACGGTTGATGACAGAAGAGCGCCCAATACCCCGGTAAAAGCGTACACTAATTACAGTGTGACCAGGTGTGCGATTAGAGAAAGAGCTCACCGTGAGAGCTCACTTGAAAAACGTTTCTCAGAACGTTTCCACCACCCTATTTTGAGCGTGGTTTAGAAGACGGTCTAAAAGGCGCAGCCCGTGAGTCCACGGTGAGCTCTCCATTCGCACCCTATCCAGGTCCTATACTTTTCAAAGCGGCATAGGAGTTTACAGCAGAATATAGAGTACGTACTCGACGCGTACTCCGTTTGCCTCTGGAAATGCATCACATCCGTGTGTGTACGCCCGATTCGTCTGATTCTAGAGATAGCCCACTTGTCTATAGCGGACCTGCAGCCTGCTGCACTCTGGTCTCCCTAGTAGCACAGAATTGTCGTACGACTGTCGGACAACAGTAGAAAAAAGATACGAACTGTCGGTGCGATATACGAAATGAGAAAAATGATTCTATCGGTATACTATCTTTTTTCCTCGAAACGAAATTCTTTATCGGCCAGCTATCGTAATGGAAGCAAAA